AACATTCGCGGCGTTGAGGCGGACAGTTCTGCTGCTGGCTGTTTACTACGGTGGTCGATGTGTTAAATGCATGCATTTCACAAACACAACAACAATCTGCCTGTATTATTGTTGTTGTTCGTATTCGGAAAGGTGTTGTGTTGTTATTGTTGTTGTTATTGTTGTTGTTATTGTAAAGTTGTTACATTTACTGTTTTTTTTCCGTTTACTTATTAAAAGATTTATTTTTATGACTTTATCTTGCCTTTGGCGGTAAGAAGTTAAATTGTGGAAACTTTCTAAGGTAAAGTGCAGCCGTGCCTCTAATTGCTTGTATCCTTGTAGCGGAGGGGAATGGAATAGCGGAGTAGCGCAAGCAGCGCAGATAGAGTAGGTACTTTACACCGCTGTGGAATGAAATATTTCACTTTTCTAATTAAGCGAACTGAGTTATGGCGCCAATGAAACATCCTCTAATCTTATGATTTGTTAAGTCTCCGTTAATTGAACACCCCAAGTATGGCGGCACGACGGTACGACGGTACGGCAGTATATTTAACGTAATTTATAAATTTTTAATAAAAAATGATTTATTTTGAAGATTTGAAGCTGGATTAAGCAGTAAACATTTTATTTAGTGTTGGATAAATGTTTCGAAATGATTTCGTACATTTCATTTCAATATATTATAATGGTTTTCTGGATACTTTTGAAGACTTTTGAACACTTTTAAATAGTTTTGGAGACTTGTGGAGACTTGGAAAATTTGAATTTTTGCAGGTGATTTGGTTAAGTTTTCATTGAACTTAATCACACATTTTCGCTAAGATGATTAGGTAGAAATTTATCTAATCTCCAATAATCTGCTCACTTACCCAAATCAAACCAGGCAGTTATAGAGGATATGACTTTAAGTCTCATCCACATCTAAGCAAAGTCAACATACTCTTTTCTCAAACAAATTCATCTTGTTTGGATAATAACCCAGGACACAATAATCTATTAGATAACTTGCCACTAATTTTAGCTACACTCTATTTGGGACGAAAGCGGTAAAACCACAATATTATAAGTGTTAACAACGACGTAAATGTAACCTTGTTTTTAATTTCACTTGGTATCAAAATAGTTGGAGAAACTGCATTCTAACTTTTGAAGGTGGACTACTACTGCTCAATGTCGTTATGTACGAAGGACTTACACTAATCAAAAATATTTATTAAATTCATAATATGTATATTAATATAAGTTCCCAAACTTAAATCATATTACTAAATTTCCATGACCCAGACACAATAGAAACTCGGTATAACACACTATAAGGTATAATGTTAAAGATTTTCATATTTCGAACATTTTAATTTTTTTTTAAACTTTTAACCGTAGAACAGAATTTATTCCTATAGCAAAACAAAGACTGAATAAGTTTTGATATAAGACATCACCTAACCAGTGCTACATTATCGAAACAATGCATTTGATTATTCATTCGGAAGTAAAGTGTAGAGTGTAGAGAAAAGTCAGAACATGTGGTGATATTAAATACAATCTCGCGTTACGGCGGTACTAGAAAATAGTAGACCCTTTGCCTGGGGTTTTATAATGTGGTTTATTATTGCGTTAGTGTTCTTCTCAGAGATATTTATTACCTTGTAGTAGGATAACTACAAAAAAAAAATGCAAATAAAAATTGTGAACTTGTCCTAAATATTAGTCTCAATCCGACATGATAGAAAAATCTTATAGAAATGTGTAATGCTTCAGAAGTATAATATAGAAGTATAATATTTACAGAACATGTTTTGTATTGTCTTAGTTTAGTTGATATTATAGTTTGCGGTTTTCAAGGCAAAAACAAAGCCGATTTGGGATTCCGAAAAAATGATAATTAAGCAATGGAAAACATTTGCACAGAGCTAATTAATAATATAATTCGGCTTATTAATTCTCAGATTTAACATAAAATGCAAATGTGCACCTCAAAGCATGAAAAGTGAATTTATGATTAATACTAAGCACGGGGCTTCTGCCGCACATGAATCTGCATCTGCACCCCATCCAGATAGACGGGCAGAGCGGCAATACATGTAGTATGGCTTTGTGCAAATATACGAGCAGAACGGAAAAAAGTGTAAGGGAATGCGTCACTTTGATGCACTCAACAGCCATTCTGCCATGGAGCGTTGCACACTTTCGCCAACTCGTGCATATTTATGCAATTAAAATTGCAAATGCAAGACAATTTGCATATTTTTATTATTATTTTTCTGCCTGATAAAATTCGAATACAAACAAAAGAAATAGAAACGTGAAATGCTCGATGTTCATACTTCCATTTGGGAACGGCAGAGATGGGCCGTTGGTAACAGTCACCAAATATAGGAGGCATGTTGCGAACCTGCAGAATAAAAAATTTCCCTGGAAACCAACCAATTAAAATCAAAAATCATCCGAATGACAAGACCAATTTTGACGCTGAGATAAATAATCATTGAAAATCATATATTAACTAAAAAGCAAAATGGTTGACAAACTAAAATATATATACGATTTGCTATTATTTTATTTATTGAAATTATATTTTGCAGCTAAAATATCTATATGTTTACTTTTATTATTTAAAATAATGTCTGTTTATTAAGCACATATTTTCATTTTGAATATATATAGACTTAATTAGTTGACATCTACGCCATTGATTTTTTTGAAAAAGTTTTTATTTTTTTGTTGCTTTACTAGCAAATTATGTTATGATGTGATTACGATTTCAATAAATTATATATTATTACATAAAAAGAATTAAAAATGTGTTCTGATATTGGAAATGCATTTCAGTGTTTTTTATAAACTGTGGAAAATAAGAGGTCCAGCCCACAGCAACTCTATTCGCTTCGAATTTTCTAAAACAGAAATCAGGCTTTTATTAAAAGAAAAATATAAAATAGAACAAAATAATAGAATAAAATAATGAAATAAAATAGAATAAACTAAAATTAAATAAAAATAGAAGAAAATATAAAAGAATAAAATAAAATAAAATAGAATTAACTAAAATAGAACAAAATAATAGAATAATAGAATAATATAAAAAAGAATATAACAAAAAAAAAAATAAAATATCATAAAATAAAATAGAACAAGATGTATGATAATAAAATAAAATAGAATAAAATAAAATGGAATAAAAAATTATTGAATAAAATAAAATTAAATTAAATAAAATTAAATAAAATATAAAAAAATAAAATAAACTGGAATAAAATAAAATAGAATAACCTCAAATAGAACAATATAATAGAATAATATTAAAAAGAATATAATAGAAAAAAATAAAGTATAATAAAAGAAAATAGAGTAAAATATAAGATGATAAAATAAAATAGAATAAAATAAAATAGAATAAACTAAAATTGAATAAAATAAAACTAAATTAAATAAAATAGAATAAAATATAAAAAAATTGAATAAACTGGAATAAAATAAAATAGAATTAACTAAAGTTGAACAAAATAATAGAATAATATAAAAAAGAATAAATTAGAAAAAAAATAAAATATAATAAAATAAAATAGAATAAAATATAATATAATAAAATAAAATAGAATAAAATAAAATAGTATAAAATAAGATAGAATTAAAAAAGATAGAACAGAATAATATAAAATATAAAATAAAATAAAATAGAATAAAATAAAATAAATTTAAAAAAAATAGAGTTCAATTGAATTGAATCTAAAATACTCGGTTGCTGGAGCTCGGCGGTGCTAAACACCACGACTAAGGCTGATATTTTGTACTGCTTATAACCTAAATAGAAAATGTCATACATTGAAAATATTCGATTATCAGACGAAGGTAGGAATTTATCTAATCTCCAATAATCTGCTCACTTACCCAAATCAAACCAGGCAGTTATAGAGGATATGACTTTAGGTCTCATCCACATCTAAGCAAAGTCAACATACTCTTTTCTCAAACAAATTTATCTTGTTTGGATAACAACGCAGGACGCAATAATCTATTAGATAACTTGCCAATAATTTTAGCTACACTCTATTTGGGACAAAAGCGGTAAACCCACAATATTACAAGCGTTAACAACGACGTAATTGTCACCTTGTTTTTAATTTCACTTGGTATCAAAATTGTTGGAAAAACTGCATTCTACCTTTTGAAGGTAGACTACTACTGCTCAACGTCGTTATGTAGAGTAGAGTTGGAATACAGGGCTCAGAAATTGTGACGTAAATGAAATATTTAATGGGGCGATCAAATTCTGCTTTGTAAATAATACGACGAAAATGGTTGTCAAAATCATGTTTGTAGATTTTTTACAAGATTTGCAGCGGTGTGACTCCAGAAAATCGTCGGGTTTTCTTTTTACTAAAACAGGACAAATTATTTAATACACTACATGTCTGCACCTTGCCAAACGCTTTGTATAGTTCTGTAGAAAATCCAAGTATATTTGCCATCAACATTTGTTGTATAAGAAAAAATATTTCATTGTGGCAGTGTGGAGAAATTTTAACAGATACATTTTCAAGTGGCTTCTCCAAGCATATTTCGTCAAAGACGGAATAAACATTATGATCGTCAAATAGAGAAATAGTTTAACTTCTTTCATCATATAACTGTATGTGTCTCCAAAAATCGATTTTCCGGGCTAAAAGCATTCAAGCACTATTCTTATGACTACACACCTCAATTTCATCCCCTTTACGATTTCTACCGATCTCGTTTTTTCTTTGATTTGAATTTTTTATGGTCTCCCAAAGTTAATTCTGAAATTGACAGCTTCCAAAGCTGCTGACTGTAGGGTCGTTTATAGTTTACGTTCATGGTGGCATTAGATTGACGACACTCCCCATTACTCCATTCTTTAACTAGAGAGGTCGTTGGAAACCAATTGCATTTTCCGCAGTAGTGAATTAGAAGAAAGAGGTGTTGATTTTTATGCGAAGAAGAAGATTTGGTGAATGTCAAATAAAGAAATCTAATCAACATCAAATAAAAGTAGCTTAAAAAGTAAATAAAATATTTATTTGTTGTTATTTTGGCGATAACATGGAATGCAATGCTTTTATTTGGTTTAAACTTATAAATTTGGAAATTTATGAAACGTCATCAGCGTAAAATGCCAAAAAAGTCTTAGCTTTTGACAATTTCATATTTTTCAAACACAAAATTTTGTTCATCAAATATTTTACACACTTATTAATTTAGAAATCTTATATTAGTGTGGTCAACATAGCCAATTTCCGATAAAAGTCCGCAGATAATATGAGGAGCATCATATTATCATGAGCCGCTAAGAGAAAAGTTGTCCAAATACGTTGTTGGCCAATTTAAGTAAGAAGCATGTGAGGTAACTACAAATATATAAGTGGGATTAATTGGTATATATGTGGAATATATAGAAACGAACCTTATGATTCTTCTGGAAAATGTAAACATTCATTCTCCAGCTTATGCTCACAACGCCAAGATGGGCAATTCTGATGGTCATGTATGTTATTTTTCATAATAATGCAACCATATGTTTAAGATATAGAAACGAACCTTATGACTCGTCTGGAAAATGTAAACATTCATCCTCCAGCTTATGCTCACAACGCCAAGGTGGGCAATTCCGGTGGTCATGTATGTTATTTTTCATAATAATGCAACCAACTTTGCTTATGCTTTCACGGTACTCGGAAAGTTTATATCTACATGCGCTTTGTGCGAAGCCCCACTTTTGTCTCATACCAGTAGGACTGAATCGTGAGCTGTCTTCAAATGTAAAGTCAAGTGGACGTTTCTGGCTAAGTTTTTTAAGTTTAAGTTGCCTTTCTTCTTGCTCACGGTCGTCTTGTTGGTGTATTAATATTGCCATACTGCCGTCATGTTTTGGTGTTTCTTTTTCTCGTGGTTTTTCTTCTCCTTCTTCTCTTTCTATTTCTATTATAATATCAGTCCCCTCTTCAACCACTTCTGTCTCGTCCTCTTCTTCTTTAATTGGAATTGGTTTGGGCGGGAAATCAATTTGATGACTGGTTATAGTGCTGCAAGGACACTTTTGCTTTTCTATGACTTTAACGATCAGTGATTCTTCCCAAGCATTAATTTCGCATTTTCGCTGCCTTAAGTCTTCTTCGGTATCCTCGATATTTGCTTCATATGGTAATGTGCGGCGTGGAAGAAGTAGGCCCATAATGTTATTAGCGGTCCATTCAGGTGGACAGAATTTAAAAAGTTTTCTACGTTCTTGCTCTCTGCGCTCAAGCTCAGCTTCAGGATCAATTATCTCCTCAGGTATGATAACTTTCACCGGAGGACGTCTAAAGTACGCGTCGTTGTAATATTTTAACCGCTCATTTTTATCGTAGAACTGGCTATTATAGGTTGTAACGTATTTACTAATACATTTCGTTTTACGTTTATTTTCACACTTTCTTAAACCCAAAATTGTACACATTGTGAATTTTTATAATTCAAAACCAGAGAAAACCTAAAGATTTTACTAAATTTGAAACACAATTAAAAATTTTAAATCTAACATTAAAAATTAATTTCCTTGTTGTTTTCATTTGATTAAATATTCAAAGACAGTAAAAAAAATTTCAAAAAAATTTTATTTTATTTAATTTAATTTCACTTCGCAGCACTTGTATATTTTCATCAAATTAATTAGTTTGGATAGGATTAGTTGATACTAATTGAACGAAATGACATGAATACACCATCAATTAGTGAAATAGTTGAAGTAATAATCGTCTTATTGTGGGTTATATACTCATTTTGCAGAAGTCTTTTAGTTCCACACGTTTCTTAGGTTCCATTGTGCATTTGTACGATCGTTATTGCGATTATCTTTTGGTCAACGATAAATGTGCGCATCCGTTGCCTATGTCTTTCTGATCGTGGCATTGGGTTATACCAACTATGTCATATGTTTCTTTGTCTAAGTCGGATAGGCTTTCAAATAATCTACAAAAGTTTTCAAAAAACCGATATTAAGCTCGTTCTGTTGTCTTAGCTTATATGTATCTTAGTTTATTATATGCAATTATTCGTAATGGAGATTTACTATCAATTTTAAATTTATTACTTCAATTTGTAACAATCTTTTATTCTTTCTCAGGTCCATAACTATAGTATATTATTCAAATTGGAACTGTATTGATACTATATAGCGCTCTTAAAGAGAAGGTTTTGAAAAACTTCCCAATTCCGAAATTCATAAATCATTTTTTCTAAGTTCAATAACTGTAGCAAATTTTAAGAATCGGAACTATGTTTAGAGATACGATTTTGTATAATTTCCTCATCCATAAATTCGTAAAAACAGTAATGGAACTTCATCAATTTGAAATAAGCTGTTGTTGATTATGTAGTGATAACACTGTGAACTACATTACAATCAAGTCTTATAAAAAATATGACCATCAAATACTTTATCCGTTCCTATAGGCACTTCAATTTAAACTACAAGTCGACTACCTTCAGGAGAAAAGTTTAAGCTCATTGTATTTTCGCAGCAGCAATCACTCATCCAGTCTTAAATACTATAAGTGATCTAACACCATATAACGAAAATTGACTGACATAAAATTTATATACAAATACAACACATCAAAACATGTATCCTGAATAGTCATATTATATACAAATATATTATATATAATTTTTTTAAATATAACATGAGATTTTATTAAAAGGAGTTAAGAATTATAGTAAAAAATTAAATTATTTGATATATAAACAAAAATTAATATATGGAAAGGATTCGAATAGTAGTGAATTGTAACAACAAAATTTTTAATTATTTTTAATCGCTAAATACTTGAGTATTGCTAAATACTTATCATCTTGAAAAATATTTTTTATATTTAATTGATCGCAAATAATTTTTTTTTAGAGAACTCGTACCCCGCCAAATTTGAAGCACAGAGTTAGCGTTCCTTAGCCAACTGAATCAAGGCCTTACTTGACTAGTATGTTTGAAGTTGGAGTTTTATTAATTTGCTATATATATAATATATATTTAATATATAAATATAACCTATATATAGTTTATATATATTACATTTTTATTATTTAAAATTTTTTTATCGAAAATTTGAGTATTTTTATAAGTTTTTTATAGCCAAGTCGAGTCTATATTTTATAGACTCGACACATATCCTTTTATTTTTATATTCTTATATAAACTTCAAGAAAGGCATATAATTTTTTAAGTACTATTCACAACTATTATAAGATAATGATAATAATAATATATTAATATTTTTATAGCGTTTATGAGTTTTTTCTTGCTGGTTATTTTTGGTGTAAAATCGAAAATCGCATATCTACATTTTCTTTTAAATCTAGGTATATCCAAAAGTAGTAGTAATAATACCAAATTGGCCATATGGATGTGATACTCTATATAGCATGGCCCTAAGACTAGCAAGTTCCATTTTTAATGTTTACATTTCGAAAGAGTTAGGTTAAAAAAATATTTTTATATTTAAAAAAAATATTGATAAAAATATTTAAATATTTTTATCATTACGATGGATTATTCATACGAAAATTAAATAAAAAGTTTTGAAAACAGAATACAATTGTTTCCCTTTTTTTTTATATTAAAATTTAATCATTTCTAAAATATCTTTAACATGATAATTATTATTATTTTTATCTAAAATTTTCTAATTTTTTGCAAAAAAAAAAGGTTGAGTATTTTCTAAAATGGAAATACATTCTCAATCATCCAATTACATTAAAATTAATACAATCGTATTGCTACTTGCGTTTGCCTTTTTATAGCATAACTAAGAAGTGCCAACAGTTCAAGCAATTAAAAGTGCTATTAGGCAGCACTATATACAACAGAATTTATCTATTTACGCCTGCCAGCACTATGCAACTTGTCTTCCTTTTAATTAATCGGGTCTTTAGCAGTAGGAAGTGGAAAATTTTAGAATTTGAAGGGTTAATAAGTTATACTTTACATTTAAAAATACAACATTTATATTTTTGATAAGTTTGCTCATTTTATTTTGATAAAAATGTTTATTCTGGAGATCTTTCTTAAAAATTTTAACTTCCTCTTTTAAAAAGTGAAGGTTTTCAAATATTTCTAAAATCACTTTGTAAAAAAAAAAATCTACTGATCTATGACTCTAGACCTGCAAATTCAAACATAGATTCTACAGTAGATCTATAGATTTTACAATAGATCTACAGATTGTACATTAGATCTACAGATTCTAAAGTAGATTTACAGATTCTTCAACACATCTACAGATTCGAAATCAGCTGTAAAGACTCTACAGTAGATCTACAGTTTCTAAACTATTATATATGTACAGACTCTACAGTTGATCTATTCCAGATTCTACAATAGATTTACGGCTCTACAGTAGATCTACCGATTCCGGAATAGATCTACAGATTCTTAAGTAGATGTACGGATTCTAAAATAGATCTACAGATTCTACAGTAGATCTATAGATTCTACAGTAGATCTAGAAATTCTACAGTAGATCTACAGACTTTACAGTATATCTAAAGATTCTACGGTAGATCTAAAGATCTACTGTGTAGTGTTGATTTTATTGTAAAATATAACAGGTTTAGAAAAAATGAAATTTTTTTTACTTTCGTTAATATTCGTTCTCTTCAGAAAATCTGGTCTTTGTGAAATTCGTTTATTTTTTTAATGCTCTAAATATTTAAATATAATTGCAGATGAAATATACTTTTAAATTAAGTGAGCAAGAAAATACTTAAATTTAATGAAGCTCCTAAAGCATTTAGAAGTCTGGAGAATATTTTATTCCGACGTCGTTGGCACGAGTTACTTAAATCACTTTACGACTTCTCCAAGACGCTTATAGTGTTTCTGCTTTTGCTGCCGTAAGCGCGTTTGTGTGTGAATGTGTCGACAGTGTTACTTTCGTTTATCATTTCGGAGGAAAAGGAAGAAGCAGAAACAACAATAAAAGGAAAATTGGGATAAAAAATCGTTCACGCTGAAATCGATTCGATTACATTCGATAAAATGTGACATGCATGCTAAATTTGCATGCAGTGTGCAGGGATGATGCGTTACGGATTGTGACATTCATACAGTGATTCTGTACGGCATGTTGTGGCCCAACGCATAGCTTGGAACGTGTTCACATACCCAGCTTCGATAATGCCCGCATTCAGCATTGAACGTTCTGTGACATCAGTGTCACCTCACCGTAAGGAAAAAATTCAATATCATGTCAGCGTCGCTTTTGTGGAGCGTGAGACCTTGTAGGCGTATTGGTGGCGCTATGTCGGTAGTGCGGTGCGTTGAGGTGGGCACGAACGTTTACAAATAACATTTTCTACTACAAAGACCAGAAGTTGAAAAAGCAATATGGAGCATAAAATTGAAAACTCTTGCAGTTGTGATTGTTTTGTCATTTCTTTGCTTTGGCTGATTTGATTCGCAGAAGATTGCAAACAAGGAAAAAAGAAACCAAATATAATAATTCCATAAAAAGGAAAATGATGAAATGGAGGCGCATATGAAAAGAAAAACAAACAATTCCGTTTCCGTTAACAGTTGCTTTAATCTATTTTGCATTTGTTGACATATGAAAAGAATATTCTTTCCTCTATTCGAAGCTGCTAAAAGCATTGGAAAATGTTAAGTTTTCTTCTCCAGAATGGCAGTGTTAGTTAAGGAAAAACGTGAGTTCTGCAATTCGAATCTGATTTGGCTTCTGTTTGACTTGAGTAAATTGCGTATTTAATTTGTTTTCTTTTAAGTTATTTCGCAAGCTTCTATAATAACTTTTATAATACTTTTTATCTGCGAAATCGTGCAATGCACAGATGACGCAGAAAAGTGAAAGCCAAAGAGGTTGCAGGACTATTATTAGATACGACTTGGTGTTGTTTATTTTTACCTTAAAATACTATGTTGTCATCAAATACCTTTTGAACTATGTTGCATAGCATTGAGTCAATGATAAGATTTTGAAAATGAAGAGATAGAATTTAATCCAACTCAGACTGCACATACTGTAGAGAAGAGACTGAAACTGCATATCATGTGAATGGAGAGTGTCTGGCACTGTTGCACAAGCAGAAGAAACACCTAGGAGGGTATTTGATGGATCATCAGAATCTAAGACTAGGAAATATAAGCTCTATACTGTCTTTCATTACAAAAATCGGACTTGAAGAACACTCTAATCTGACTAAGGGGCACAATAGATCTTTTAGGTCGCAGTGCACTATCCATTCATTTTTCAATAATAATGTAGAGCTATGAAGGGTCCATATGCAGGGCACTTCACAATGCCAAATTAAGCGACACATTTACTTCAAACACGGGTGTTAAGCAAAGCTGTATCCTGTCACCACTTGTGTTCATCGTAGTCCTGGAGAAATCCTGCTGCTTGAGATTTTTGATTTGATATTAAATATAATTAAATATTTATAATTCAACATTTGATATTTATTTCCTAATTTATTTATTTTCTTATTTATCTGGAGAAAGCCTTGTCCG